GGGGTGGTAGGGCTGGTGGGGAGCGTGGAGCGGACAAGGGAGTCACGGAGAGAGTGGTCCCTCCGGAAAGCAGATAAGGGTGGGGAGGGAAAAATGTCTTTGGTGGTGGGGTCAGATTGCAGATAGCGGAAGTGTCGGAGGATGATGCATTGGATCCGGAGGTTGGTGGGGTGGTACGTGAGGACGCGGGGGATTCTGTTTTGGTTGTTATTGCGGGGAGGGGGTGTGAGGGATGGGTTGCGGGAAATGCGGGAGACACGGTGGAGGGCGTTCTCGACCACTGAGGGGGGGATGTTGCGGTCCTTGAAAAACGAGGACATCTGAGATGTTCGGAGTGGAATGCCTCATCCTGGGAGCAGATGCGGCGGAGGCGAAGGAATTGGGAATAGGGGATGGCGTTTTTGCAGGAAGGTGAGTGGGAGGAGGTGTATTCTAGGTAGCTGTGAGAGTCGGTGGGCTTGAAATGGATATCGGTTTCCAGGTGGTTGCCAGAGATGGAACCAGAGAGGTCCAAGAAGGAGAGGGAGATATCAGAGATGATGCAGGTGAACTTAAGGTTGGGGTAGAAGGTGTTGGTGAAGTGGATGAACTGTTCGAGCTCCTCGTGGGAGCACGAGGTGGCGCCGATACAGTCATTGATCTAATGGAGGAAGAGGTGGGGCTTAGGGCCAGTGTAGCTATGGAAGAGGGATTGTTCCACGTAACCTGCAAAGAGGCAGGCATAGCTTGGGCCCATGCGGGTACCCATGGCCACCCCCTTTGTCTGAAGGAAGTGGGAGGAATTGAAGGAGAAGTTGTTAAGGGTGAGGATGAGTTCAGCTAAGCTTGTATACAGGATTATTTAATACCCTGTCTTTCCCGTTCTTGAACCAAGGCTGTATTGTAGTCACATGTCAAATTTTCACTTTGCAATCTGCACTTGCAAGTCACCAATCTTATTTACCATATGCATAATACTCCTGATTTAGACCTTATTACTTTTTCTCTTACATTGAAACTACTTCATATGTTACTATTTCTTCCTTATTTGCTAGCTGTCTCTTCCAGTATACTGTGCACCATAGTCTTCCTCTGTAGCATATTACAGCGTAATACCTAATGCCAAGTTAGTTTAAATCCTCCCAAATAACATGAGCAAAATACTGTCAGGAAATTAGTTGAATTGTTGTAATATCAGTATGTACTGTGAGTTTCTGTGGAAAGGATTCACCAATTGCTGACAATTGGTAATAAAAAGCTGGGCTGTGCAAGCACATGCTTTGGAAGGCTCCTGACACCAGTGCTGAACTAACATCACGCTCCTTCCCTGATTCTTTCAGCCTTTAGGTGGAACGTGTGAGAAGAGTGGTGTTGGACGGAGCAGTCGACACCATGAATGGAGCCTCGGTGGTTTCCACGTCTGTCCAGACCATCTCCATTAAGGAAGAGGCTGGTAAGATTCACACCTCCAATCTGCAAAGAGGGAGCAGGAAGGTGGAGGTGGTATGTAAGTTGGCAGTTAGTCTTGTTTCCAGAAATGATTTCAAGGAGTTGGGAATTGAATAGTAATTCAGACACCATCCTTTCAAATCTAATCTCACCCATTACCCTGTGACCTCTCTCTCTCTGAATGAATTCTCCCCCTGTCCCAGTTCCCTGCTCTTTGCCTATTTGGTTTGTTCTCTTTTAAGCTTTTATTCCTCTGTCCATTTCCCTTCCAAGAGCAATGGCAGGTTGTCTGCTCTTGAGAAAGACCTTGTTCAGTTGGCCTTGGGTCAGGTGCAGTAGCACAATTCTGAGATTCTGTCCTTTTGAGTAACTCTGATGTTAATCACTGACCTGATGGTGTTCGGCCCAAACTTTCCGCTTGCTGTTCCTTTAGGACTGACCTGAAATCCATGGGAGAAACATTTCCTTATGGAAGAGGGTTGGTTTAGGGGAGCAGAAACTTAACAATTGGAATCATTCACAATTGATGTCAGGACGCCCTTCACAGAAAGGAGAGTGGAAATCTGGAACTTCCTCCCTGGTAAAACTGTTGAGGCTGGGAGTCAGTTGGAAATTTCAGGATTGAGGTTGACACTTTTTTTCTGTGAAGGTGTTGACGGTGACAGAATCAAGCTGGACAAAGATACAGGTCAGCCATGATGGTATTGAATAGCAGAACAGGTGTGAGGGGCTGAATGGCCACATCCTGCTCCTATAAACTGTGTCTGTCAGATCAAGCTGTTAATTGGTGTGGGGATTTTCTTTCAGATCTATGGAGTAAAGATGATGTCCAATGTTTGTTGGATCGGATAAAGAGCCTGATCCCAGAAGGAGACTGCATGAAGTACAAAACTACCGAATCCCATTTCAACTGGGAGAAAGTGGCATTTGGACCCTTCACTGGGGAAATGTGTCGGCTCAAGTGGCTGAAACTGGCCTCTGAGGTTAGTAGTGACTGAAAAATTATTGTCTTTCTGACAGAAAACTTACTGCTCCAGGTTCCTCAAACCCTCTGCCCACCACAGACTACTCTCAAGAAACCCAACACTATTGTGGGCATCTCAGCCCTCTTTATTGGCATCTTCTCCACAGTAATTAGGGATGGACAATAACTAGGAGCAGAGTTAGATCATAATGAAGTGCAAAATCACAGGCAAGCCTGCAGTGAAAGCTGTAAATTGGACTCACTGATGTCCTGAATGAGAGTTTGTTCCAACAGACATTTATTATGTGGATGAAACTGGACTGTTTTACCAGATCATTCTTGACAAGTTTAATCTTTCAAAATTAATGGTGGAAAGCTAAGCAAGGAACATATGGTCTCTGGTCTGTGCCAATGTAGATGGCACCAAAAAAAAGCCACTGCTTCTTGTGATAGGAAAGTCTCTCACCTTGGTGACCCTGAGGAGTGTGAAGAATACCCACCTAATCACCCGCCTGTATTTCTGGCTGAAATAGCAAAGGTTGCTGAAATGTTCCAGGATTTTGCACCACAGCATGGATGCTTGTTTGACTGCACTCATGATCTGGCGGACTGGTTTATGCTTGTCTGATAACTGAGAAAGATTGCTGAATTTTCAGAGCTAACTTCCAATGTTTCTCAGCGCCTTTTACTGTAAGTTGTGAACAAATTGAAAAATAATCATTTCTTGCATATTTCCTACAACATTGCTTTTTTTGTTAAAGATAGAACATATTTGTTGACATCCAGGTTCTGGTTTGGGTTTTCTCAGCTAGCTCAAAGCTCCGCTTGACACAAACATGTCAGCAAGTCCTCTGCAAGCTGATTTTTCCAGATTTTACTCTGCTTCATTGTCTGTCAAGTATTTCAGACATTCTGTGGCGACAAAAGTATTATTCTCCTCTCCTGCTGCCGACTGATATTGTCCTTTATTTGTTAAAGAGCTAGGTGTTTTTCAATTCATATCCAACTTTCTCATTGCCTTAGATCAGAAAATATCGCACTCTGAGTGAGCTGCTCACAGACGCTGTGGAGTTTGTGAAAAATCCATACAAGGGCAAGAAGCTGAAGGTAAACTCAAGGGGTTCAGTTTGGTACCCCTGATACTGGACTGGTGATGAATGATGGATGGGGACAAGTCTGGATGAAGTGGTAGATGTGTCTGTCTGTGAGGGCATCCGTGTGAATCTCTGTCTGTGTGCATGTGGTTGAACATGATCAGCTCAGTGTAAGTGTGAGAAATTGACTGTGGGTGTGTGTCACTGTGAAACTGACTGTGTGGTGTGTGTGTGTGAGAAAGAATCATCAACACAACAACATACTCAGCTGTGGGTTAAATGTTAAAATATGCATTTTTATTTCAGACTCATCCCGATTTTCCGAAGAAACCATTGACTCCATACTTTCGATTCTTCATGGAAAAAAGAGCCAAATATGCCAAGATTCACCCAGAAATGAGTAACCTGGACCTGACAAAAATTCTTTCCAAGAAATACAAGGAGCTGCCAGAGAAAAAGAAGGTGCAAGTGATCATTGTAAAGAAACACAGCCTTGCATTTCAAATGCAACTTTTGTGGCCGTTGAGCATCAAAAACAGGTTAGGTTGTTGACTTGCTTGCCGAGCTGGCTTGTTCTCATTCAGATGTTTCATCACCATGCTGAGTGACGTCATCAGTGGAGCCTCCGATAAACAATGTTATTCTACTCCGCTTGGAATTTGTACTGTCTGGTCTGTTATGAACCATGGTTTTCCACCCGTAATGCAATCAACAAACATATAGAATTGCACCCCATATACAAACCCATACAGATCAAACTGGAAACGAGAGTACTCACCATAACGGACTGGACAGTGTAAATTCTAAACGGAGTAGAATAACTTCGCTTCATCGGAGGCTCCACTGATGATGTCACCTAGCACGGTGACGGAAAGTCTGAACGCGAACAAGCCAGCTCGGTGAGCAAGTCAACAACCTCACTCACAACCCAAGCTACAGATCTTTGCCAAAACTTTAATCATAACGGGTTTTTCAATGAAGGAAGTAATTATTAAATTATTCTTTCATGGGCTGTGGGTCTTACTAGCATTGTTGTCCATCCTAATTGCCTTTGAACTGAGTGGCTGCCCATTTCAGAGGGCAGTTAAGAATCGCCCACATTGTTGTGGGTCTGGAGTCACGTAGGCCAGACCAGGTAAGGAGGGCAGATTTCCTTCCTTAAATGACATCAATGATGGAGTTTTTTTTTACTGTTAATTGTCATGTTCACCATCAGTGAAACTAATTTTGAATTCCAGATTTATTATAAATCAAATTTAAATTTCACAGCTTCTGTGATTTGAACCCACATCCCCATAACGGTAGAGATGGTAGGAACTGCCGATGCTGGAGAATCTGAGATAACAAGGTGTAGAGCTGGATGAACACAGCAGGCCAAGCAGCATCAGAGGAGCAGGAAAGCTGACGTTTTGGGGCTAGACCCTTCTTCAGAAA